GAGCACAGAACCACCGTCCACCCATCTTCCTGTAATGTTGCCTTAAGTGCTTATTATAACCGAGTGAACACATAAAAAATGCCTTCTTGAGGGCGTAGCGAGAGGCTGCAGTTTAAGTCCCACCACCAGGCACTTTTTGTCATACAACTGAAAAGGAAGAATTATAACATATTCCTATTCAAGCACTGTTTTTATTAAATACTGTATATCTAAATATACTACTCGGGAATATGGCGTTAAACCAACAGCGTTCAATGTAATTTTAAAATTATAGTAACCAATACCGCAAAGCATTTTTCAAACAATAAACTGAAAGTAGTAAATTTCAATGAAAAGTAAATGTATGGATATTAATTTACGATTTTGATTGCTTTTTAGCTAATTAGGTCCTACTCTTATAGCCAAAGTAAATGTTGAAGCAACCACTACAAAAGGTAGGACCTAATTAGCCAAAAAGAAATCAAATGAGTTATAAATTAATCCTCAATACAATTACGGAGCGTTAATTTCAAAATTACATTGAACACTGTTGGTTTGAAAAAGCTGATGATTGTTGCTATATAAATCAGAAATGCGTAACATTTTCGTTGGTAAATTTACCCAAGGCACATAGCAATTTTAACTGAGTAAATATTGCCCAGGAAAAAAAGCCAAGCTGTTTTCCTGAACAGAAAAATCCAATGCGAACACTGGACTTGGTTAAATCTTTGAGAGCGCATGCTAACACCTGTCTCTTATACACATCTAGATGTGTATAAGAGACAGGCTTATCTCATCGTTCCTTTCTAATCGTATGCACCAGTCTGCCGATTTATTTGTTGTATTGTTGAATTTGGTATGAGAATATGCATATTTTAGTTTTTTAGGAAGGTTTTGATGGCAACATTTATACATTTCAATTTAATTTATTTTGATCGTTCTTTTTTAAATGTTAATTTTTGTTTATATATTTTTATATATTCAATGTGAAGTGCTGTATAAATTTAAATTTTAATAAATTTTAAATATAATCTATTGTGTGGTATTATTGGTGTAATGTTACTGACTCGGTCCCTTAGCTTTTTAGCCCTCTATTAAATAAATAAATAAATAGTAAAAACGACTGTTAGGCTATCTTTATTAGGCCTGGTTAAGATTGTATATCTATATTTGAATAGTTTTTTAAAAAGGGCCTTCTCAAGTTGGTCAGTGCTGTTAGAGTCACTCTCTCAAAATATTGTTGAATATACAACACGATCACTTTGGCCAAACTCTCTCTATCTACGGCTCTGATGATACGCCACTGGTAGCGCCACCATGCGGCGCTATACAATCTTTGGCAGTACCATATGGGCAGTACTCATTGCGGTAAAATTAAAAGAGGAGTAGTACGCCACCATGCGGCGCTATACAATCTTTGGCAGTACTCATTGCGGTAAAATTAAAAGAGGAGTAGTAGGCCTTATCAGATTCTTATTTATAAAAAGTTTACAGCAAGGAGAGTATACCACCCTAGGCTATGCCTAGTTGTGCAAAGTTTGTCTTCGCAACACACTAACTGACTTTTTATGCTTGACTAGGCCTAGGGTAGACCTCCTAGCTAGGCTAAGATCATCCGAAGAAATTGCTAGTAATAGTATGATTCGTGTTTTTTGTAGATGGGCCAAGTCACTGTTTCAGTAATTGTTAAATTATTATTATCATTATTTTTTTTAGGCCTAGGCCTAGTCTTTTTTTAGGTACTGTCTGTAGGAGAACTAACCAAGGACTAGGCCTAAGCCGCTAGTAATAAATACTCTTGGTAGGTAGCCTAGGTCAAGGTAGGTTAGTTAGTGTGTCGTGATTTACTAAATTGGACCTAAAATTGAACTAGGCCTTGGCCTAAGCTTAGTTAGCTAGCCTAGGCCTAGAGGCATAGGCCTATTATAGTATATTATGTCATGCCATGTTGATTTTACTTAGGCCCCTGGCCTAAGTTCGATGTTGTCTAGGCTAGGCCTGCACTAGACACTTTAAGCAAGAGGATGGGGTGCCATCGACAACTGCAATTCAGGTTAAGCGCCCAAGTGTTTACTACGTTCTTCACGCTCTGATGAGCACAGAACCACCGTCCACCCATCTTCTTGTAATGTTGCCTTAAAAACGTGCCTATTATAACCGAGTGAACACATAAAAAAATGCCTTCTTGAGGGCGTAGCGAGAGGCTGCAGTTCAAGTCCCACCACCAGACACTTTTTTTCATACAACTGAAAAGGAAGTTTTTGTTGAAGGTCTAGGCCTAGCATTGTTTGATACAATTATAACATATTCCTATTCAAGCACTGTTTTTATTAAATATATCTAAATATACTACTCAGGAATATGGCGTTAAACCAACAGCGTTCAATGTAATTTTAAAATTATAGTAACCAATACCGCAAAGCATTTTTCAAACAATAAACTGAAAGTAGTAAATTTCAATGAAAAGTAAATGTATGGATATTAATTTACGATTTTGATTGCTTTTTAGCTAATTAGGTCCTACTCTTATAGCCAAAGTAAATGTTGAAGCAACCACTACAAAAGGTAGGACCTAATTAGCCAAAAAGAAATCAAATGAGTTATAAATTAATCCTCAATACAATTACGGAGCGTTAATTTCAAAATTACATTGAACACTGTTGGTTTGAAAAAGCTGATGATTGTTGCTATATAAATCAGAAATGCGTAACATTTTCGTTGGTAAATTTACCCAAGGCACATAGCAATTTTAACTGAGTAAATATTGCCCAGGAAAAAAAGCCAAGCTGTTTTCCTGAACAGAAAAATCCAATGCGAACACTGGACTTGGTTAAATCTTTGAGAGCGCATGCTAACACTGTGCGCACAACTATATTTTACACAGCACCATTATGTATCAATAGTTAAATATTATTATTAATTATTATTATTACTATTATTATTATTATTATTATTGTGAAAATTTGAAATTAAAAAAAATTATTTTTGTTCATTAAAAATAGAAGCAGCTACTACAGAGACTGTCGTAGATGAGAGTGTGACTCAAGTAGGGATTGAACCAACCACTGTGGAAGGTTAGTGATGGAATAATCACTAAACTACTATTTTTATACTCTAGTGGGAAGGGGCTAAATATTGTATACAGTACACTCAATTGTAAAACTGTTCTCAAATTGACATTTAGTAGTTACAGTACTCTTCTAGGACGAGGGAGTCACAGAAAAGAGTATGTTTTATATTCATCAAAATGATCATCCTACTTCACAATGTATTTACTTTATTTAGCTACTCTTAATCATTAATTATTTAATTCCTAATTAGAATCAGATAAATGTAACATCATTGTCTGTTATGTGTAACAATGTAAACAATTTCAGTTTCTCTTCTTTCATCTGTTGTGCATGATACAGGTAAGAACATATATTAATCTAAGGATATATTTGATATTCAGTTTTCCTTCTTAGATGCTATTAAACAGTTTTTTACCCTGAGATGATTCCGAGTAAACAGGCTCCTTGCATCCATTTGACATAAGATTTATTTACTCAGCATTCATTAATCTAATATTGTCGTATAAAATGACATCAAATCCTAGGCAATGTGTTTTATAAATCCTGTGAAGCAGGAAACTCATATATTTTTTAATTTAATTTGGTTATTTAACATTTTTAGAAGAGAGTGAAGTAGCACCTACAAAAGATGTAGATGTTGATGTTGTGACAGAGCTAGCAGCAGTGGAACCAACTACTGTAGAAGGTAAGAACAACATAGCTGAGTTAAGCATTCACTCTGAGATTCAGATTCAATAGAAAATGTATGATAAGACAGTCTTGTTCAGAGTTCCAGTAGCCATGGTATGAAACACAATGTTTTGATTAAGTATGTATGAAAGCTTACATTGTCAGGACATTCAGTCAACTAATCAATCTTGATCGATCATTTAATCAATCAATAATCAATCCATCAAATAATGCAAACAATCAATCAGTCAGTTGACCAAAATCTCTCCTTTTAGAGTAATTATTGCAAGCTGATTACTTTATTGTTATCACAATTATTTTATATGCTTTACAGTAAATTTACGTTCTTTGTCTGTCTCTTAAACATTCATTGTTTGATACCTAATTACCTGTAAAATCGGATAAATGTGGTGCTTTTCATTTTTAATATGATTTACAGTTAATTAACTTTATTTTTTTCTTAAACATTATTTGTTTCATTCCTAATTAGAATCGGATAAATGTGGCATCATTATCTGTTATGTGTATTGTGAAGCTGGATATGTCAAAGATGAGAACGGTTGCCACACCTGTACTTGTATACCAGGTAAGAACGTACATTAACTGACGTAAACAATTTCAGTTCTCTTCTTACATCTCTTGTGCGTAATGTAAACCAAGTAAAAACGTACATTAACTTAAGTATATATCTCATGTTCCCCTCCCTTCTTCGTATTCCTAGTCGAGTAATTTTGTTTTTGAAAGAATACATCTGTACAGGTATAGTACTTAAACCATTTGTTGCTCCACCAACTGAAATATGGGGCCATATTGTTTTATTTCTTTGGATTTTCTAACTTGGAAACATTTTCTCAAAGTATGCTGTCATATGAAATGAATCATGTAAAACAGGGGAAATTTAAATATTTTAAATTTAATTTGGTTATTTAACATTTTTAGAGAGTGAAGTAGCACCAACAAAAGATGCAGATGTTGAAGTTGTGACAGAGCTAGCGGCAGTGGAACCAACTACTGTAGAAGGTAAGAACAACATAGCTGAGTTAAGCATTTATTCTGAGATTCAGATTCAATAGAAAATGTATAAGACAGTCTTGTTCAGAGTTCCAATAGCCATAAAATGAAACACGATATTTTGATCAATTGTGTATGAAAGTTTACACTATCAGAACATAGAGTCGACCAATAAATATATCAATCGATCGATCAATTGATCGATTATCTATCAATCAATCAATTAATAATCAATCTGCCAAATAATGCAACCAATAAATTTATCAATCAATGATTATTGCAAGCAGATTAATTTATTGTTATCAGAATTATCATAGGCAAGACTTTTTATTCCTTGGTTTGCGTACTTATTATTGGAGGAGGGCGGAATAAAAATAAAATTTTTTTTTCTTATTTCGCAAATAGTTTTGCCAATATTATCCAGACAGAAGAGAAAATTAAAAAAAAAAAAATTATTGGTGAATGTAAAATAGGATGTTCAAATGCTTCAAATTTATATAATTATGAAGAAATATACATATCTTATCTTTAGAGATTTCCAGGCAGTGGAGGGCGTAATAAAAATAAGAAAAATTATCATTTTTGTTCTGAAATTTCCACTTTTTCGTGATGGCGGGTGCTCTAATTGGCCAAAAATACAACTTTATTTTTATTTGAAATCATCAATATTTGCATTCAGCAGGTTTGGCTAAACAAGGTATAAAAAAGTCTTGCCTAATGCTTTACAATAAATTGATGTTCTTTGTCGTCTCTTAAACATTAATTGTTTAATTCCTAATTACCTGTAGAATCGGATAAATGTGGCACATTTGTCTGTTATTTGTATTGTCCAGCTGGATATGTCAAAGATGAGAATGGTTGCTACACCTGTAATTGTACACAAGGTACGAACATAGAGTAACTTGCAAATAATATATTTAATGTACATTTTCTGTTTTTGCATCTCCCATGCTTGAACCAAACAAAAATATACATTATAAATATAAATACTTATAAAGAAACATAACTAATGTCTCTTTCTTCATCATATTTAGGAGCTAAATAAATAAATATAAAATAAATTTAAGAAAACAAGTTTCTTTTATTTTGTTTACATTAGTGCCTGATGACTGTGAAGATTTTATCTGTTCTTTTCTCTGCCCTGCTGGTTACTTGAAAGATGAAAATGGTTGTCCTACCTGTAGCTGTGTACCAGGTAAAACTCTTTTCAAAATTCATTATTTTACTTTATATTAACATCAATCACACATCATAACAGGCTTTTTATAATTAGTTAGTAACCAGGATTTACCGGAAGGAAATTTTGTGTGAACAGGCCTCTTGACACCATTTGATCTCATAATGTTAAACAATATAAACAATAAACAGCAAACGGAGGTATAATAGCTTTGTAGTTAAAATACCTACCCTTTAGATTATAGGGCAATGTGCTTGAAACAGAAGAAAACTCAAATAAATTATTATTTAATTTGGTTATTTAACATTTTTAGAAGAGAGTGAAGTAGCACCAACAAAAGATGTCGATGTTGATGTTGTGACAGAGCTAGCGGCAGTGGAACCAACTACTGTAGAAGGTAAGAACAACATAGCTGAGTTAAGCATTTATTCTGAGATTCAGATTCAATAGAAAATGTATGATAAGACAGTCTTGTTCAGAGTTCCAGTAGCCATGGTATGAAACACAATGTTTTGATTAAGTATCTATGAAAGCTTACATTGTCAGGACATTCAGTCAACTAATCAATCTTGATCGATCATTTAATCAATCAATAATCAATCCATCAAATAATGCAAACAATCAATCAGTCAGTTGACCAAAATCTCTCCTTTTAGAGTAATTATTGCAAGCTGATTACTTTATTGTTATCACAATAATTTTATATGCTTTACAGTAAATTGACGTTCTTTGTCTGTCTCTTAAACATTCATTGTTTGATACCTAATTACCTGTAAAATCGGATAAATGTGGTGCTTTTCATTTTCTAACTTGGAAACATTTTTATCAAAGTATGCTGTCATACGAAATGAATCATGTAAAACAGGGGAAATTTAAATATTTTAAATATTTAATTTGGTTATTTAACATTTTTAGAGAGTGAAGTAGCACCAACAAAAGATGCAGATGTTGAAGTTGTGACAGAGCTAGCGGCAGTGGAACCAACTACTGTAGAAGGTAAGAACAACAAAGCTGAGTAAAGCATTCACTCTGAGATTCAGATTCAATAGAAAATGTATAAGACAGTCTTGTTCAGAGTTCCAATAGCCATAGAATGAAACACGATATTTTGATCAATTGTGTATGAAAGTTTACACTATCAGGACATAGAGTCAACCAATAAATCGATCGATCGATCAATTGATCGATTATCTATCAATCAATCAATTAATAATCAATCTGCCAAATAATGCAACCAATTAATTTTTCAATCTTTAACAATCAATGATTATTGCAAGCAGATTAATTTATTGTTATCAGAATTATCATAGGCAAGACTTTTTTTATTCCTTGTTTTGCATACTTATTATCAGAGGAGGGCAGAATAAAAATAAAATTTTTTTTTCTTATTTAGCAAATAGTTTTGCCAATATCATCCAGACAGAAGAGAAAATTAAAAAAAAAAAAAATTATTGGTGAATGTAAAATAGGATGTTCAAATGCTTCAAATTTATATAATTATGAAGAAATATACATATCTTATCTTTAGAGGTTTCAAGGCATTGGAGGGCGTAATAAAAATAAGAAAAACTATCATTTTTTTTCTGAAATTTCCACTTTTCCGTGATGGCGGGTGCTCTAATTGGCCAAAAATACAACTTTATTTTTATTTGAAATCATCAATATTTGCATTCAGCAGGTTTGGCTAAACAAGGTATAAAAAAAGTCTTGCCTTATGCTTTACAATAAATTGATGTTCTTTGTCGTCTCTTAAACATTAATTGTTTAATTCCTAATTACCTGTAGAATCGGATAAATGTGGCACGTTTGTCTGTTATTTGTATTGTCCAGCTGGATATGTCAAAGATGAGAATGGTTGCTACACCTGTAATTGTACACAAGGTACGAACATAGATTAACTTGCAAAGAATATATTTAATGTACATTTTCTGTTTTTGCATCTCCCATGCTTGAACCAAACAAAAATATACATTGTAAATATAAATACTTACAAAGAAACATAACTAATGTCTCTTTCTTCATCATATTTAGGAGCTAAATAAATAAATATAAAATAAATTTAAGAAAACAAGTTTCTTTTATTTTGTTTACATTAGTGCCTGATGACTGTGGAGATTTTATCTGTTCTTTTCTCTGCCCTGCTGGTTACTTGAAAGATGAAAATGGTTGTCCTACCTGTAGCTGTGTACCAGGTAAAACTCTTTTCAAAATTCATTATTTTACTTTATATTAACATCAATCACACATCATAACAGGCTTTTTATAATTAGTTAGGTAATCAGGATTTACAGGAAGGAAATTTTGTGTGAACAGGCCTCTTGACACCATTTGATCTCATAATGTTAAACAATATAAACAATAAACAGCAAACGGAGGTATAATAGCTTTGTAGTTAAAATACCTACCCTTTAGATTATAGGGCAATGTGCTTGAAATTGTGTAAAACAGAGGAAAACTCAAATAAATTATTATTTAATTTGGTTATTTAACATTTTTAGAAGAGAGTGAAGTAGCACCTACAAAAGATGTCGATGTTGATGTTGTGACAGAGCTAGCAGCAGTGGAACCAACTACTGTAGAAGGTAAGAACAACATAGCTGAGTTAAGCATTCACTCTGAGATTCAGATTCAATAGAAAATAGTATGATAAGACAGTCTTGTTCAGAGTTTCAGTAGCCATGGTATGAAACACAATGTTTTGATTAAGTATGTATGAAAGCTTACATTGTCAGGACATTCAGTCAACTAATCAATCTTGATCGATCATTTAATCAATCAATAATCAATCCATCAAATAATGCAAACAATCAATCAGTCAGTTGACCAAAATCTCTCCTTTTGGAGTTATTATTGCAAGCTGATTACTTTATTGTTATCACAATTATTTTATATGCTTTACAGTAAATTGACGTTCTTTCTCTGTCTCTTAAACATTCATTGTTTGATTCCTAATTACCTGTAGAATCGGATAAATGTGGCGCTTTTCATTTTTAATATGATTTACAGTTAATTAACTTTATTTTTTTCTTAAACATTAATTGTTTCATTCCTAATTAGAATCGGATAAATGTGGCATCATTATCTGTTATGTATATTGTGAAGCTGGATATGTCAAAGATAAGAACGGTTGCCACACCTGTACTTGTATACCAGGTAAGAATGTACATTAACTGACGTAAACAATTTCAGTTCTCTTCTTACATCTCTTGTGCGTAATGTAAAGCAGGTAAAAACGTACAGTACATTAACTTAAGTATATATCTCATGTTCCCCTCCCTTCTTCATATTCATAGTTGAGTAATTTTGTTTTAAAAGAATACATCTGTACAGGTATAGTACTTAAACCATTTGTTGCTCCACCAACTGAAATATGGGGCCAAATTGTTTTATTTCTTTGGATTTTCTAACTTGGAAACATTTTTATCAAAGTATGCTGTCATATGAAATGAATCCTGTAAAACAGGGGAAAATTTAAATAATTTAAAAATTTAATTTGGTTATTTAACATTTTTAGAGAGTGAAGTAGCACCAACAAAAGATGCAGATGTTGATGTTGTGACAGAGCTAGCGGCAGTGGAACCAACTACTGTAGAAGGTAAGAACAACATAGCTGAGTTAAGCATTCACTCTGAGATTCAGATTCAATAGAAAATGTATGATAAGACAGTCTTGTTCAGAGTTCCAGTAGCCATGGTATGAAACACAATGTTTTGATTAAGTATCTATGAAAGCTTACATTGTCAGGACATTCAGTCAACTAATCAATCTTGATCGATCATTTAATCAATCAATAATCAATCCATCAAATAATGCAAACAATCAATCAGTCAGTTGACCAAAATCTCTCCTTTTAGAGTAATTATTGCAAGCTGATTACTTTATTGTTATCACAATTATTTTATATGCTTTACAGTAAATTGATGTTCTTTGTCGTCTCTTAAACATTCATTGTTTGATTCTTAATTACCTGTAGAATCGGATAAATGTGGCGCTTTTCATTTTTAATATGATTTACAGTTAATTAAGTTTTTTCTTAAACATTAATTGTTTCATTCCTAATTAGAATCGGATAAATGTGGCATCATTATCTGTTATGTGTATTGTGAAGATGGATATGTCAAAGATGAGAACGGTTGTCACACCTGTACTTGTATACCAGGTAAGAACGTACATTAACTGATGTAAACAATTTCAGTTCTCTTATTACATCTCTTGTGCGTAATGTAAACCAGGTAAAAACGTACATTAACTTAAGTATATATTTGACGTTCCCCTACCTCCTTCATATCTCTAGTTGAGTAATTTTGTTTTAAAAGAATATATCTGTACAGGTATAGTATTTAAACCATTTGGTTGCTCCACTAACTGAAATATGGGCCAAATTGTTTTATTTCTTTGGATTTTCTCACTTGGAAACATTTTTCTTAAGTATGCTGTCATATGAAATTAATCATGTCAGAGGAAAATTAAAATATATATTTTTTTAATTTGGTTATTTAACATTTTTAGAGAGTGAAGTAGCACCAACAAAAGATGCAGATGTTGAAGTTGTGACAGAGCTAACAGCAGTGGAAGCAACTACTGTAGAAGGTAAGAACAATACAGCTGAGTATATGCATTCACTCTGAGATTCAGATTAAATAGAAAATGTATAATGAGACACTCTTGTTTGGAGTTCCAGTAGCCATGGAATGAAACACAGTGTTTGATTAAGTATGTATGAAAGCTTACACTGTCAGGATATTCAGTCAACTAATCAATCTTGATCGATCATTTAATCAATCCATCAAATAATGCAAACAATCAATCAGTCAGTTGACCAAAATCTCTCCTTTTAGAGTAATTATTGCAAGCTGATTACTTTATTGTTATCACAATTATTTTATATGCTTTACAGTAAATTGACGTTCTTTGTCTGTCTCTTAAACATTCATTGTTTGATACCTAATTACCTGTAGAATTGGAAAAATGTGGCGCTTTTCATTTCTAATATGATTAATTGACTTTTTTTCTTAAACATTAATTGTTTCATTCCTAATTAGAATCGGATAAATGTGGCATCATTATCTGTTATGTGTTTTGTGAAGCTGGATATGTCAAAGATGAGAACGGTTGCCACACCTGTACTTGTATAGCAGGTAAGAACGTACATTACTGACGTAAACAATTTCAGTTCTCTTACATCTCTTGTGCGTAATGTAAACCAGGTAAAAACGTACAGTACATTAAATTAAGTATATATTTGACGTTCCTCTCCCTTCTTCATATTCCTAGTCGAGTAATTTTGTTTTAAAAGAATACATCTGTACAGGTATAGTACTTAAACCATTTAAATATTAAGTTGAGCTGTAATAGCCTTGTAGTTTAGATACCTACCCCTCAAACCCTAGGGCAATGTGTTTAGAATCGTGTAAAACAGAGGAAAACTCAAATAAATTATTATTTAACTTGGTTATTTAACTTTTTTAGAAGAGAGTGAAGTAGCACCAACAAAAGATGCAGATGTTGAAGTTGTGACAGAGCTAGCAGCAGTTGAACCAACTACTGTAGAAGGTAAGAACAACAAAGCTGAGTTAAGCATTCACTCTGAGATCAGTGTGTGTCACATTCAATAGAATATATAAGCACTTATCTTGGTCTGAGTTCCAAAAGACATGGAATATACTGTAACACAATGTTTTGATAAGAAAGTATAATACATACTCCAAGTATTGAAATACACGCCATCGTGTTTTGATAAAGTATATATGAAAGTAACATACACCATCAGGACATTCAGTCCACCAATTTATGAATCAATCAATTAATCAATCCACCAAATATCCAATCAATCAATCAATTAATCAATCCACCAAATAACCAACCAATCAATCAATCAGTCAATCAACATGTGTCCTTTGAAACTATGATTATTGCAAGCTGATACTTTCTTCTCATCACAAAAAGGCAACATAAAATGTGGTTACTTGATGTACTCTTGCTGTGATCAGAGATATAAGTCAAATAAATCATTAACATTTCTAGTATGCTTTACAATTAATTTGCTTAATTTTTTTTCTTAAACATTAATTACTTAATTCCTAATTAGAATCGGATAAATGTGGCATCATTATCTGTTACGTGTATTGTGAAGCTGGATATGTCAAAGATGAGAATGGTTGCCACACCTGTGCTTGTAAACAAGGTAACATACATTAACTTTGGTAAATACATATTTGACGTTAAGTTTCTCTTCTTGCATCTCCTGTGCTTAAACCAAACAGTAAAATAGTATATGTAAATATTTTTTGACAAAAAAACTAATGTTTTCCTCCCTTCTTCATATTTCCACCCTCTCCCTTCATATTTAGGAGCTACCTTCATGCTTGAAGGCTCTTCTGATCATACAGCTAGGTTTTTTTTAGTGCGTATCAGTCTGGGTTATATTCTATTTCTATTGTTATTTTTTTTTAAGTTGAGTAATTTTGTTTTAAAAGATTATATCTATACTACGGTGACCCATAAGTGTCACGGCAACAACTTTCGAAGTGTCACAGCCACATTTTCGTAATTCACAGCAACAACATTCGAAACCACACAGCACCCTTTAAAAAGTCATGGCTTACTATTAAAATCCACCGCACACTTTTAAAAACCACGGCACACTTTCAAAATTCATGACAACAACTTTTGAAATGCCACGTCAAACTTTCAAAATCACAACTTCCGCTGTGGAAAGTACAACTTCTGCCGTGAGGTTCACGGCGGAAGTGGTTATCTCACGGCGTAAGTGATAGAAAAGTGGTTTCGATTTTTTGGCCGTGACATTTCGAAAGTTGTTGCCGTGACACTTATGGGCCACCGTACTATACGGACCTTGTCATATCAAATGAAATAATAAACCATTTGAGCTGTAATACCATTGTAGTTAAAATACCTACCCTTCAAATCCTAGGGCAATGTGTTTAGAATCTTGTAAGACAGAGAAAAACTAATAAACTAATAAATTATTATATAATTTGGTTATTTAACATTGTTAGAAGAGAGTGAAGTATCACCTACAAAAGACGCAGATGTTGACGTTGTGACAGAGCTAGCAGCAGTGGAACCAACTACTGTGGAAGGTAAGAACAACACAGCTGAGTTATTAAGCATACACTGTGAGATCAGTGTGTGTTGCATTCAGTAGAAAATGTGCAAGTTGTCTTGGTCTGAGTTCCAAAAGACATGGAATGAAACACAATGATTGGATCAAGTATGTATGAAAATAACATACACTCTCAGGACATTCAGTTGACCAATTAATTAATCAATCAAATTATCAATCAATCAATAAAGCAGTCAACCAAAATCTATCCTTTGAAGTTATGATTATTGCAAACTTATTACAGTAGAACCCCTCATTTACGTACGGCACGGGCCGTAAAATCAGGAATTTATTAAATCGGGGTTCGTAAATGAGGGTTTCTACTGTACTTTCTTGTTATCACAAAAAGGAAACATGAAATTTGGTTACTTGATGTACTCACACTGTGGACAGAGATACAAGTCAAATAAATCATTAACATTTCTAATATGCTTTACAATTATTTGAATTTTTTAATCTTTTTCTTGAACACTAATTGTTTAATTGCTAATTAGAATCGGATAAATGTGGCATCATTATCTGTTATGTGTATTGTGAAGCTGGATATGTCAAAGATGAGAATGGTTGCCACACCTGTACTTGTATACCAGGTAAGAACGTACATTAACTGACGTAAATAATTTACATTCAGTTTCTCTTTGTGCATCTCTTGTGCACAATGTAAACCAAACAAAACAAATAATATGTTAAATAGTTTTTGATAGATTACTTACACCTCCTTCATATTTGGAGTTAACTTTATACTTAAAGGATCTTTCCCTCCAACTACATTTTGTTTTGTGAGTGTCAGGCTGGGTGATGTATTATTTCTATTTCATTATTTTTTTTCTTCTAATTTTAGTAATTGTTTTAATTGAAAAAAAATGTCCATATATTGTTCCAGCAACTGTATTTTCTTGGACATTTATGAAATAATAAAAAGCAAAGCAAGTAGAGCTGTAGTTCCAGTGTAAAGTGCTTAAAATTCTGTAAAACAGACGGATTCTCAAGTGATGAATCATTTAATTTAATTTGGTGGTTACATTTTTTAGAAGAGATAGAATTAGCATACACTCATGAAATTTGTGTGTGTCACATTCAATAAAAAATGTATGATAAATAATAATTATAATGTTATATTTATATAGCGCATATTGCACATTGCCAATATAGGCCAACTGAGAAAATGCAAATAACAATAAAATAAAATAAAAAATAATAATCATAATAACAATGAGACTAAACTGCTCCTATTCCCTAAACTAATTAATGGTTGGTCATTCATTCCGAGGAGCTCATCCGCCCTTTGTTCAGCTATTGGTTTTTCTTGCTGCTGGGTGACCATAAACACCCTCCCCTCAGCAGCCACTAAGACATATCTGAGAGGGTTGTCAGTTTAGTTGCCGATGCTTCGACCGGATGGAGTTTAATGTCGTACCCAGGACGTGCCTAATTACCTTAAGCTAGGCTTAACTACTCTTAAATACAATATATTACTCTTAACTACAATTAGTTTGTGGGTTATTCTTGGTGTGTAATGTTAATTACATTTATGTTAGTATACAAGTGTATTTTCTGAATTACTTACCTGGATAAACGAGGTAAACCTTGTTATCCAGGCAAGTATCTCCCTCATAGACTACCGACATCACAATTGATTTGTGTATTTCAGAAAAAGTTGAAGTAGCACCCACTGAAGTTGAGCCTGTAACAGTTGAAGAGTCTGATAAATGTGGCATTATCATCTGTTATGTGTATTGTCCAAGTGGATATGTAGAAGATGAAAATGGTTGCAATACTTGTGCATGTAAACAAGGTAACATTCAATTTGAATATAGATTTTCATAATGATCATTATTAGTTGAATGAATTTGTATTGAGATATTGTGTAGGAATGGTTGGTACTACGACTTCTGCGTCCATTATATTTTTGTGGACTTATTATTTTGTGGACATTTATCTTGATAACTAACTAGTGTTTTTATCCTTTTATCTAGAATGAAAAACCACCTAAAATGTTAAAATTTAGTCTACTTCTCTTTACCTCTATCCTATTTGAACTAGAAGATTTATTATAACCATGTAATCACTTAACTTTTAAAGTCTTTATGGTGTTGTAAAAGGAATTTGATTGTGTTTTTTAACTTTGGTTATGAATGTGATAAATTGAGTAACTGAAACCATATGTTTGTAGTGATTAAATTTTACTGTATTTTGTTTTGAACAGAGGTTGTAACTAGTGAGCCAGAAACTGAAGACTTGACAGTTGCCCCTGTAGCCAGGTACATACATCACATTTTTTAAGCAGGATACACACCGTGATTCCATTAATGATAATAATGAATAAAGTTTAGATTGCAGTCATATCAATGATCAATGCGCTTCAGAAAATAAATAGCGGAAAAAGCAATATGTGGAAAACTGAGCCAGTAAATATACTACAAACTAACCAGAATTAGAGGAACAAGCTTTACCGCTCCATTTACCAGCACTTTGAAGGCCCGTTGAGGGTCACTTATTCACTTATTGACTACCCAGTCAATCGCCAAATGATGATGCATCATTAAGTTCCCACCGAGAGCAAAGGATTTCGTTGCCTGACGCAATGTATACCCAGCTTAATTGTCTAGAAATTATTTTTGGCTCATAATACTATGATGATGGACGACGAGTGTTGCTGGTACCGTGTTTGCGGGTAGCACAGACACGAAGGGTCCTTTAGGGGTGAAGAAAGTCATTGATCGAGTTCCGGATCAGCAAGTAGACGATAAACAATAATTATGCAGGCTGTTGGTTTAAGCTCCTGGATGAAGAAGGACTAGCCTAGGCCTATACTTCTTGACCAAGCCGATAGCACAAGCACCAACACCAACAGTCAAATTAAATATGTCTTGTCAATAGTTGACAAATATTGGAAGATGATGGGTGGAAGTTGAGGAAATAAGCAAGGAAGAGCTAGACACTCTTTAATCGCCTGGGCCTAGTCCCTAGTTAGTAGGTCTCTAGGCTAGACTAGGAAGTAAGTACTTTTTTAGACCTCGTAGAATCTATGTATGAGGGATGTAAAACAAACATTGACTGCCCTAGATTCAGGGAACGGTGATGTGGAGACTGTAGCCTTTCTTCCCGAGGGGCAATAGATTTCACCATTGCCCTAATGAGCAGTCAATATTTGTATATTATTGTTGCTATATTTTTTCTTAATTTGTTCTTACTTTACCTCAGATGCCTGGCAGCACGTCAAGTAATAGAACGTGGAGATTTCCTCCCTGATTGTGATGAAAATGGAGACTATGAACCTCTACAGTGTCCCCCTGTTGGGGGGTAAGTAGCCATAAATATAATTTTGTATACTGGTCTCCCTCTAATAAAATACCACCTTCTAATTAATGACCACTTCCTGTGGTTCCATATTAATATATGTCTTTTATCTTTTTTATTCTAATTAGAAACCAAAGCTGTTAAAGATTATGGAAACCCCTGTCCCAAAAGTGTGCTTTATTTGGAGGGTGGTATTTATTTGGAGGGAGACCTGTAAATGTGAACTCGGGCAACTGTTGCCCAAGCTTAGATGAATTAAAGTATGGCTTCTAATAGTATACAAATATTTACTGGGTCGAGAAACATAGTACACCCTCCGGATCACCAAGGGCAATAATTTGGAGCTATGACCCAATTAAAATCCCACTAAATATTTGTTTTATATACCACTACATAGATTGTAGGCATTTAATGCGGCTAGGAGGACATGGCTGGAATTATTGCCTGACTTTTAACCAATCAAATGCCTGGAATCTATGTAGTTTGTATATAATACTATACAGTACTGTTGCATTCTAATGCTATTACATATTGTGATTTACACTGGTTTTGAGAGGGTATGTGTCATATATGGTTCCTGTAGGAAATCAATTATTATTGAGGAAATTTTTATTTTAGTATGTTTCCAGAAACTCTGCTGCATGTCTTTACCCTTTTTCCTGTTAAACAGTATAGCCGGGCATTTTTTGCGGCCGACTGTTATGGTTCAACACAGTTTTATGGATCCATTTAAGACAGCATCGCACCATTTAGCGCTCACATGGAGCAGTGTGTGCCTGGCTTTAAACACATAAAGACATCTAGTATACACTAGGTAGTTTTCGCTGCACGACATTAACCTTAACTTTAACATTAGTAGTCAACATGCAACGCGATAACGCCGCCCCTTTTGTAAACAAATCGAAATATGCATGAGCAAACCTGTAAATAACGTACGTCGAGCACGTAAAATCCTGAAATTAATGTACTCCGCAACGCAAGATGAATAAACTATGACGTCATCCGTTAACGTTAAGGTTAACGTCGTGCAGTGTAAACTCCCTATTAGGTCACGTTTAACCTTATTATGTTAATGTTAATTGTTGTGTCTATTTTGTGAATACCTTCCTGGATGAACCAATATGAGCCAGATATTAATTGAACTTACCCACAAGAAATAATGGAATGTGCCTCTTCATTGCAAGATCGGCGATGATTCTCAAGTAAATTTTCAGGCTTATTACGTAACGTTAATGTTTTATATAAACCTGTGTTAAATGATTCCATTATTTTGTGCGGTTAAATTCGATTAGGAATCTGACTTATATCAGTTCATCCAGGTAAGTATCTCACTCATAGACCAACAATGTCACTTCTGATTTGTGTTATTTATTGTCATCTTGTTTGTTGCTGTTAGATGTATTTGTGTAAACAAGTCAACGGGGGAACCAACAGGGTTACCATCTGGTGATCCACCGGTCTGCAACAGTAAGTGATAGCACTAATTTTTAAAGCAATTTTCTGTTTAAATCCTGATTATTTATTTCAGGGGAGTGGGGGGGGGATGGCTGGGAAGAAAGAAATTGATAACCCAAATCGCCTCCGAGGTTATTTTCAGGCGTCTAGAAAATAAAAATTTCACATGGAATCTCTCCGGGCCCCCCAGGGTGGTGCCATCTCGATCATCCCCCTTTCAGACATCTCTGGATTCGCCCTGTAATTCTTATACCATATTCCTATTTTTTTAATTTTATAGTTATTTTATACATGAAATCATTCCTCTGGAACTAATTTTGTTTCTGGAAGTAAATTATGGCATCACTTTCTATATTATGTTTTTATGGACCTTCACTTTTAAACACATAAACTGTTAGTAAAATATCTTCTCGAAATATGGGGCTGTCTCTTATACACATCTAGATGTGTATAAGAGACAGCTATGAACCTCAGGTAGAATAAAACCAAATTTCAAATTAAATTGTGGAACTGCTGATTTAGAAGAATCACATAAGTTGTCAGCAATAAGTAACAGATCAACAACAAATAAAAATATAGTTTTTAGCAATTTACTGACATTTTACTTTGAAAGCCTTTAAATTAGCTGTCGAAATGTTGAGTCCAAGCAGAGAATATAGGATAGTATTAATTAGGGCAGTGGCTATTGTTACACCAGTCTAACATCAATTCTTAATGATTGGATGTAATTGCTGCAATTTAATATATACATGCAATAATATCCAATCAGAATTAGAAATTGGTTTAAGATTGGTGTGACAATAGCCACTGCCATTATCTAAAAATCTATTGGCAGATATTTTTTTTTCAATTTGGTTGAAAATTAATAACTTAATGAAATACAGTACAATCAATGAAATTCAATTTTTCTTTTTGAATTTTCAAATTTATTTAAAGAATTTAGCTGGTGGTGTATGTTTTTTATAGTTTCTTTTTTTTTTTTGTTGGTATCCTAGAATGATGACCACGTTAAATAAATGAATGCATTGGTGTCTTGTGTGTAGAGAAGTCTTCTGCAATCAAGATTATTACACAGTATTATACGTAACTATTATAGGTATTAACACAGAGACTGTTAAGTATCTGTTGTATAATTAATAAGTACTAATTCCTTAATACAATATATTATTATCAGGGAAAAACATGATACCTCTAATGAGCTTTCAAAACTGGTTCCACAAGAAGATACAATATACAATATATATTTTATTGTCTTTCAAAAAAAGAAATTTCCTGTTGCAGTATAAAAACTATAAACATTAATACACTAAAAATACCAAACTTTTGCTAACCTGGTGGTGTTTAGGGCTAATTAAGTATAAATAAGACAGACACAGGTAAGCAGTGCACACCTTTACAAGAGCACTCTGGGATCAAGCAAGAATTATATGTAGGAACTATTTCCATGTTCCACCAAATATACCAATGTTTAATATTTTAAGAGATCTTTGCAACTTACACATTAAGCCGGGCACTTGTGTCATCAGTCACTATTCTATGGAGTATGCAACGCCATTGCATGCCCAATGAATCATTTTTAATGTCCATCCATTTAGACTGTCACCAACAGCAGATGGTGTTGCGTCGTCTAGCGCTCACATCGAGTAGAGTTAGATCAATTGTACGACTCAATTAGTGCCCGTCTTTACACAATGTGTCATTTGATCTGTTTTGTTGATGAAAAATAAGGACACTTATACTTTAATTGTCAAAAGTATTTACAATGACTTAATAATAATAAACAGTACAGTATTACTTATTCGATACCATTGATAAGATGTTTGCATTTGGATAACTAATAATAATAATATTAATAATAATTATTTAATAATAGCAATTTCAGCTTGATATAGCATATCTGCGATATCCTCAATATATCCATGTGATTAGAATTAACAGGAACGGGAAAGAAACGAGAAAAAGAACACATGAAAGAGGAAACAAAACAGACAGAAATAAAGGATTCCGGAGGATCCTATTTTTACTTGATTAATTCATCAAGTATGCAATTTTTGTTTTGCCTGTTGAAAAAGTACTATGCACTTATAAACATATTTACCATGAAAAATTGTAGAATTAGTTAATTATGTATATGTTATTTGTGAAATGTAATGTGTACTTTATGAAATAAAGACTGACACCCTAATGTTAGTATCAATGTTTAGTTTATTGCATTGATGTATTATTGTAAATATACATTGCTAGGCCAAGGAAAGACCGATAGACAGACTAACAACAACTTAAGCATGGGTGTAGATGCACCCCCAATGGCAGCAAATTAGTTCCACTAAGTGGGTTCAAATACTAAAAAGGGATAGCATTCCACATTTGTTTTTCCACCCCACCCGCCCCTTCCACCTAGCCAAAACCGGCCTACACCCCTGTTGAGTGACAACAATGAAGTTTGATGACAGAGACCAACTGAAAGTCATGGAAATGATTACCATATGCAATGTCTACCAAAGACGAAACAGTACAGCAGTTGTGGCCTACGCCTGCTTGCATTCTGTAAATCCTGTGAAATACACATTTTTTTCTTTATTCTTCAAACTTTACATGTAAAATTTGTACAGTACATTAAGATATCTGTACAGTAAGTGCTTAAAACCAGTTGTGGAAAGTGAAAGTCCCTCCGACACTAAAAAATAACAGGTCTACTTAAATATACACTCAGATTAATGTCACCACAAACAACATACAACTATAACAAATTGATAATAAACAGCACAAAGCAATTTTTTTATATATAGCATCGGTGTATTTAAGGAGGTCCCTTTAATTTTTTTGAATTATAAGAAATATGGAGAAAAAAAAGGAAAATGAAGTCTGAGAGTGCACGCCATTTCCATCTAGATTGCTATAATCATAGATTTTCTTACCTCAACCCCAACCATTTTGGGGCTGAGGTGGTATTGACCCACTCTCTCTGAATGTCCCTTTTTGGGCCCCCTATATTTCGAATTTCAGGATCCACCACTGTATAGCCTGGGTTAGCAAGATATGTTTGGGGAAACCTGCAAAGAATAATTATAAATCTAAAATGTAAATCTAAAGAATGCTTTTTGTAGTGCAGGTACCATATTTTATAAACAGGTATAAGGAAGGATAAAATTTTTGCCACAGTGTTCAACATGCAAGGGATCACCATCAGGTTTTATACCACCTTTGAGTTGATTCCAGTGTGTGAGAGGTTCAAAGATAAATTAAAAACAGAATTCAAAATACTAATATCCATCTCAATTGTGCAGGACTTATAAAGGCTACTTTGATTTTTATTTAGGCTCACAACACATGCACCAAGGATTGTCAATAACGAATATATCACTGTCCTAAGTGACAGTTCCTTCATCAGACATACAAACATGCACTTATGATGCTTTACACAAACTAGGAGTGGATTTTTTTTTCCATTGTGAGAAAAAAAAATGAATGAGATACAGATTTTTGAATTTTTAAAAAACTGTGGGAAAACGTGTAAAATTGGGCGGTTACGCCCCTTTTATCCAAAGTTTTTAAATATTTTTGTGCAAAATTGCGTATGGGTGTGGTCCATAACTACTTAGCCGCTGTATTCCACATTGACGGGGTAAAGTGAAATTTACTATAGCATTGGGGTATCCATAGCATCAGGGCAATATCACAGCACCAGGGCTATCCCCTGCTCTTTCAAAAGATGCAGTGGGCAGTGTCGGCTCCAGCGGTGGGGGCAGGGGGTTAAGTCCCCCTACTGGACAGGTCAAGGCCCCCTGCCGGACAGAGCTCGTCGGGCAGTCAGAACATAAAACATATAAAAATAGGCCCACAACAAGCCAACACATGTCTGTCACAGTCTGAGAGTGCCATTTTCAGCCATCTAGATATTGATATTCTTTAAAAAAAATCTCATTTGGGAGGGGGAGCCCCACCTCTCAACCCCTCCCCCCAGCTCGAACCTACAAGCTCATGTCCCCTTGTCGAACAACTTAGCCCCCCCAGAAAATACATCCTAGAGCCGCCACTGGCAGTGGGTTCTTTTTAAGTCATTATCTGAGAAGACCTTGAGCAAGAGGAGTGGTTTAAAAGCAGCGCGGTCGTTGAATGTAGTATCAGTGCCAATGCTTTATAGAGTACCACAGTTGTGTCGTCACAACATCTGGACGTTGGTTACCATTCATTACACCTGAATGACTTCATAATCTTAATGGTTTAGAATAGGCTTTCTGGAATAGGCATTTAAAAAAATAATTTACCATCAAAATGTACTAAAAACACAAAAAGCTCGCATTATATTAGTTATTGATCACACATTTAATCATCAATTAGTATTTACAAAGAAAAATTAAGATACAACTTCTTAATAATTATGTTAGAAATTGGGATCAATGGTTTGTCAGTGGAGAAAATGGCATCAGTTGAACGCTATTTGTGTTGCCGATAGCAACTGAGTAGTATCACGTGGTATCGTGACGTAACACTGTAGTACTCAATAGCTTGGCCACTCCAGTCACCCTCAGACTTTCTAGTCATATGGCCCTTAACCTCATTACCATAGTAATAAATTAAATTTCCCAAATTTTCAGCCACTCTTTATTCATACAGTAATATTATATTTCAATTCTGTTTATTAGAAATTTTAACCTGCACTGATGGATTTCAGCCAGTAGATGGAATTTGCATTGGTATGTTTCTTTTTGTTTTTCATTTAGCACACAAAAACATTTACTTCTGTTTTCCTTATATTCTCCCGTTATATTTTTGTGTAATTTTAACAGATGTTGATGAATGCATAACTGACCCACCATGCCCACCTGACACTACATGTGTGAATAATGTTGGCGGCTATCAATGTATATTCAACCTAGGTAAGAATTTGTTTCTTAAATAATAATGTTTTTTAGAGGAGTCACAATTGATTACAGTGTTGATTTCTATTCTGTGGTGGATTCAAGTGGACCCCAGTTGGCCCCTGTCCCAACCATGGTGTGACTGAGGTGCTGGGCCTTCCATCTGAATTGCTTAATTTCGACATGCTACCAATTTTTCTTATGATGAATTTTCTGAATACGTAAATAATTTTCTTTAAATTAAAAATTCAGCTCCTAAAAATTTTGAACTTTCCCCTTTTGAAATTAATGGCTCCCAGCAACAATGGATGCAAAATCTGTGCATGCAACCGACCACCAGTTAAATGTAATTTTCCAAATTGTTTGTAATGATTGTTTACAATTTACTTTTTTACTTAGAACCAACTTGCCCACCATTTAGCTGTTTAATTTTCTGTGAGCATGGTAACCAAGTAGATGAGAATGGGTGCAAAATCTGTGCATGCAACCCACCACCAGGTAAATGCCATTTCCTCGTCATTGATTTTTTTTTAAAGTGAATATTTAAATTGTAATTTATACCTGTACTATTAATTGTTTTAAATTTATTTTTTTACTTAGAACCAACTTGCCCACCATTTAGCTGTTTAATTTTTTGTGAGCATGGTAACCAAGTAGATGAGAATGGGTGCAAAATCTGTGCATGCAACCCACCACCAGGTATATATCATTTCTTCATTGATTTATTAAAGCGAATATTTAAATTTTACTTTATACTGTAATTTTTAAAAATTTACTTATAACCTACTTACCCACTATTTATTTGTCTAATGTTTTGTGATCAGGGTAACCAAGTATATAGATGAGAATGGATGTAATACATTGTATGTCTGTGCATACAACCCACCACCAGTTAAATGTAATTTTCCACTTCGTTGATTTATCAAAGTGAATACTGTATTTAAATTGTAATTAATGATTGTTTACAAATTACTTTCTTTACTTAGAACCAACTTGCCCACCATTTGTTTGTTTAATTTTCTGTGAACATGGTAACCAAGAGGATGAGAATGGGTGCAAAATCTGTGCATGTAACCCACCACCAGGTAAATTCTATTTCCTCTTCATTGATTTAATAAAGCGAATATTTAATTTGTACTTTATGCTGTTCATTTTTTTAATTTTCTTAGCACCAACTTTCCCATTAGTTATTTGCCTAATTTTCTGTAAACATTTCTGTTTAATTTTCTGTGAGCATGGTAACCAAGTAGATGAGAATGGGTGCAAAATCTGTGCATGCAACCCACCACCAGGTAAATGCCATTTCCTCGTAATTGATTTATCAAAAGTAAATATTTAAATTGTAATTTATACTATTAATTGTTTAAAATTTATTTTTTTACTTAGAACCAACTTGCCCACCATTTAGCTGTTTAATTTTCTGTGAGCATGGTAACCAAGTAGATGAGAATGGGTGCAAAATCTGTGCATGTAACCCACCACCAGGTAAATTCTATTTCCTCTTCATTGATTTAATAAAGCGAATATTGAATTTGTACTTTATACTGTTCATTTTTAAAATTTTCTTAGCACCAACATTCCCATTAGTTATTTGCCTAATTTTCAGTAAACATTTAAATTGTAATTTGTACTATTAATTGTTAACATTTATTTTCTTTACTTAGAACCAACCTGCCCACCAGTTAGCTGTTTAGTTTTCTGTGTACACGGTAACCAAGTAGATGAGAATGGGTGCAAAATCTGTGCATGCAACCCACCACCAGGTAAATATTAAATATGATTTCTTCTATATTAATTTATAGTAGTGAATTTTTAAATTGAAATTTATACTGTTAATTGTTTAAATTTATTTTACCCACCACCAGGTAAATATCATTTCCTCTTTATTGATTTATTAAATTGAATATTTAAATTGTACTTTTAATTAATACTGTTAATTTTTTAATTTACCTAGATCCAACTTGCCCACCACTTGTCTGTTTAATTTTCTGTGAGCATGGTAACTAAGTAAATGAGAATGGATGTGAAAACTGTGCATGCAGCCCTCCACCAGTTAAATATAATTTTCCAATTCATTGATTTATCAAAGTGAATACTTTATAGAAATGGTTTGTAATGGTTGTTTAAAATTTACTTTCTTTACTTAGAACCAACTTGCCCACCATTTATTTGTTTAATTTTCTGTGAACATGGTAACCAAGTAGATGAGAATGGGTGCGAAATCTGCGCATGCAACCCACCACCAGGTAAGTATCGCTTACTCAACAATGATTTATCACATTGAATATTTATTTAAATTATTTGTAATGATTGTTTAAAATTTACCCCAGCTAAATATAATTTACTCTCTTTTTATTGATCCTAATGAATATTTTATTGTAATTATTCTATTGATTGTTAAATAATATTTACTAGTTTAAAATACCCTTTTTACATTGGAGCATTGTATAACGTTTAACAAACTTGTGCTTAAATTTTGTATAGTAATTATCCAATTGTATTTTCATTTTCTATCAAAGAGCCAACCTGTCCGCCACTTGTCTGCTTAGTATTCTGTAAACATGGTAATCAGTTTGATGATAATGGTTGCCAACTATGTGCTTGCAATGCCCCTCCATGTAAGTGTTATAAAAATATAGTATAGGTTAAAGGAGAAGGTTGGAGAATAACCCATAACTTGCAGCGTCATTGTGCTGAATTGAGTATAGGTGTGGTCCATGATTATCTTGCCACCGTAAAGAGGTGCTTTAACTACATGTTCACAACATTCCACAACAACAGGGGCTGAAATGAACCTTAGCAACCATCTACTCTTCTGAGAGATGCAATGTCCGTCCGTCCATTTTAAGTCCACATCCGAGAAGACTTGGTTCTACCAACTGCATCCTGGATGAGGAGCAGCTGGAACCGGCGCCAATGTTAAGCTATAGCTAGTGCGCCACTGTCTTACCACTTGTCCACTTGACTTGACAATGTCTTTACTGAGCTGAAAATAATTAGTTCATATTTTGAACAGCCTAATTATGTATATTAAATTTGTTAATATAACGTGGAGTTAAATTGCTTGGTAGTTAAGATGCATTCATTCATATAGCCTTGCTTTCAATTCCTGACAGTAACAGGATTTTTTTCAACACCAAAAATAATTTTAAAAACCCATTTTAATGAATTGACATACAGTCTTACTGAATCATTATCAAGAATGTTGTAATGATTTGTTATTTTGACTTACAGCGCCAACCTGTCCTCCTCTTGAGTGCCTTATTTTCTGCGAGTTTGGCTATCATGTTGATGATAGAGGATGTGACATTTGTGCGTGCAACCCACCCCCAGGTAAATAATTTTTGGTTTTGTATATCAGGGTAGGGAGATGATGGGTACACAAATATCCACAGCCTGATGTTTTTAGTAAAAAGTAATTTTTGTGACAGCTCTTGAAGACTAATATGCAACCAACATGGAGTGGTGGGGCAATAATAACTAATCAGAATCTAATAAATTGAAGCCCCAGTGCCCTTCTAAGATGTAAATTCAGGCAATTTGCTCTTACCCCCTCTCCCCCACTGCCTATCATACACCATTTCTTAAATCCTGTATATGTTCCTAGGTTAGTAGTACCAAACCTTTTTGCATTCATAGATCCCTCAGGACATAAAATTGTTTAGGATCCCCAAGTCCAAGTTTACTCCATTGTCGATAAGACCCATTGACTTGGTGTAACCCAATTATTTTTCACAACCCCAGGCTGGGAACCACTATCCTAGATAACTGTCTGATGTCTCTCTGAACTCAGTTGGTGATAGGTAGCAAAACTCGCAGAAAGTACAATATGTGTTAAGAAAGCTCATCAAATGGAACCCATGGAAGAGCTTTCTTCCAACATGGGAGTCGTCAAAGTCATCCAAAGTGATACGTGTTGACAAACTGGCTCTATTTTATTTCAGCACCTGCTTGTCCTCCAATCAACTGCCAGCTTAGCTGTACGTTTGGCTTTGTCAAAGATTCTGACGGTGAATGTGATATCTGTGAATGTTTTAATCCATTTCGTAAGTACAACTATAGCTTTTTCCACACTCATATTTTTTTTACTCCCACTCTCTAAGCCTCTTAATTGATAGGAATGAAGTTTTCCCCTAGCTGACGTATTATACTGAATGTGACATGTAATCGTACTGAATGACCAGGTAAGGGGGAAAATTCCTATTAAACCTTCTGACACAAACACCATCTGAATACCTCCTTATGAAGTTTCTTATTCTGCACCTTTGAAAAATGTAAGCTTTTTACACTAAAAACTAATTATTTCATTCTTGAAAACCTACAAAATTATCTATTTATTTTTTTTTGGTCTTTCATATCCATCATACCTACAGCATCTTAATTACTTTCAATAAATACCTAAGTTTCCTTTGGAACCTACCTCACAAGCATAAAAGAAAATTAATGGACTCTCCGTAGCTCACCTATATACGCCCTGCGTGAATGAACAATATCCTCGTTTCCTTCTCGCTGTAGAGCAATATAGATGAAAGAAAAGCTCACCCATTCTATGTTTAGAAGTTTGTGGTTTCTGCAGACAGCTGCGTGATTTACTTGTGCTAGCGCCTGCCTAGCCTGGCTTTGTGTGGGCTTTAGTTTTCTAGTGTTTAACCACATAGTTTTACTTCTTGTTTCGTAAAAGGGGTTTTAATTTTTCGCATCTACTGTGCATTTATCGGTTTATCCAGGTAAGTATCTCACTCATAGACCAACAAAACTACTGATTTGTTTAATTTACTGTCTCTGTTTGTGTAGAAGAAGCAGTCTGCTCACCACTATTTTGTAAAAATGATTGTGGACCAATCGGCTACACACTTGACTCAGATGGCTGCAAGACATGTCAATGTAACTACCTTGAGGATGGTGAGAAGTTTTTATTTTTTCTCCTAAGCCCAGCACACAATGAATGACTGAGCTAATGAATCCATTTCTACTCTATGTGAGCACTTTACAGTGCAGTGCTCTCTGCTGATTATTTGTTGCAGTTTAAGCAGATTGTCATCAAAAATGATTCGCTGTGTATGGCTGGTTGCGTTGTATTCTTAATGAGATCTGTTGACAGACAGCCAGCCCAATGTAAGTCTGTCTCTAGAGTAAATATAGAAATTACCTTTTCATAACCAGTAACATTTTACACATTTTTTTGTTTCTTTCCTTAGTACCCATTCCACCACAAATTTCAAAAGTTTCCAGAACAAAATCAGTGGGTAAAGAACTTGAGCTACAATGTGAAGCAGATGGCGTTGAACAACCAAGGTTCGACAATAAACTTGTTTAAAAATATATTTAAGCAAATTTTATTTCTTGTTTCTGTTCAAAACCGTTTAGATTAGAGAAAGTGGTACATATTGATATAAGGAAGAGGTGATTAAGTTTTGGGCTAGAAAGTTCAAAAGACAAACTTAAAGTCAATGTCACAGTTTGTCTTGCCGTATTAAATGCCCTACATGTATTATACACTGCCTCGCATATTGCATTTTACAAGGACAGTCACCAGTCCTACATATATGAATATGATGACAGTAGAATAATGGGGTGGCTGTAATTTTAGGTACCGGATTCTTTTGATTTGTGTATTGTTCATCTTAATACCTATGTTTATTAGTTGAAAAGAATTTTTATAAGCGGCCTGTATGCTTTTTGCCATTCTACTTATAAAGGCAAAAAATATATTTTGTATTTGTGAATACTTATCCTTATAAACCAAGTACTTGTTCCTTACAGAACACCCCTACGACAAAAATAGAACCAACCCATTTTCCCAGCGCGTGACTGCGCCCACACCCAAGGTTCGTCCTCATTCCTTTGTTGTTGGTAAACGAACGACGACCACACCCAAGCGCTTCCAACAAGTTTTGAATAGAAGAAATTGAATAGACATTATTCAGAAGACTGGATTTCCTTTGGATTTCTATAAATAATTTTTTTAAAGCTTTTAAGTTTCTCTTTGTTTTGTGTTTCTTAGCAAAGCTTGCTGTGCCAAGTGTGGGTGGGGTGGGGGGCGAGGCCTAAGCCTAGTGTTAAGTTCGACAAGCATTTGGCTTGCCCATGCTGTCGGACTTGCAATGAAGAAAGACCTTGTGAGGTTTGCGTTAGTTGGCCTGCGGCCACCTCCCTTATGATCCACGAGTGGTTAGCGTCTCATACTTCGGCCATGACGCCCACTGTTTCGGAGGTTTCGGCCCCTCCTGAGGCTATTCCGGGTCCATGAACTGAGTCTCTCGATCCCGCGCTCTTTTCTCTCCTTAAAACCCAAATGGGTCTTATTGCTAGGGAGGCCTTCAGAGAGGCTTCGGAGCAAGTGCAGACTGAAGCCCAGCTACTTACTCCCACTCCATCGGGAGAGGTTAATGCCCCCAGTGGGGCATTTCCCATGGCTTTGTCCAATGGAGAAAGTTTGGATGAGCAACCTGTATGCTTTTTGCCATTCTACTTATGCAAAAAATATATTTTGTAAATTGGTTTTTCTTTTTCAATGAGTAGTATTACTTGGAAGAAAGATGGTATAGTACTTGAGGCTGGTGATGGCATTGAATTGGAGGGCGACACTCTTAGTATCCAAGAAAGAGAAGCTCATGATAATGGAATGTATCAGTGTGTTGCAACAAATAGCATTGGAACTGCTGAGTCTGGATTCCTAGATCTTAGAGTGGGATGTAAGTCATTAAGCCCAATTTGCCTCACTTTCATTAGATGATACAGAATTCTGATTATAATTATTGCTGTTGCCTTAGCATTGTATTTTTTTTCCTATAACATTTTTAGGAGTGCTTTTTTTACACTTACATATAAAATGTAAAAACAATGAAAAGACAATGTACAATCATTGAAGGTTGACTTGCGGAACACAAAATTTTATAAAAATATCGAAATATCCATTATGTTTCATTATATTTCAATAAATTAGTGTTTCGCAAGTCAGCCTTTAGTGGCTGTACATTGTTTTTACAATGTATTTCACTTGGTCCACACATGTAAATCCACTTTTCATGAGATCTCGGTAGAGATACAAATTTGGTAAGCAACAGCTAAAAAGAAAAATAAGTAAACAGCCAGAAAGAAAAGGCAAAATACTGAAAAACAACAATGCTGTGGGAAACAATGGCTGGATATCGGTAAAGATACAAATTTGATAAGCAACAGCTAAAAAGTAATTATATATATATATATATATATATATAC